CCCCCCGAGAGAACGCCACTGTGTCTGTTGTGATACATGGAAGGAGGTGAAAAGCACACCCCTCATTGCAACAATGGTGCACCATTTTAACTTAAATATGAGATAAAACTGGGTTTAACAGTTACCATTACATCGTCTTTAATGACAGGATTGTTTTGCCCATCGCACCCCCCACCCCAACACACACACACACACTTTTTATTATCGTACGTTAAAAGAAGTCATTAAAAATCATATTTTACAAGTTCAAGTCTTTGCTAAGCACAAGATGAAATGTTTCCTGTGACAGTAACAAGAAGTGATAAGACCTTTTTAAAGCAGTAAAAGTTGCTGGGATGTGTCATTGGCAGTTTAGCACCCTCAGCAGTTTTCAATAGCTTCATATCATCAAGAGACTGGTAAAATTCACTACCTTTGCATTAACTCACACATACACACAGTGCACCTCCTCGGTCTACTCAGATAGTGCAGTAGATGTAATATAAGGCTGTGCTTTTCAGGATAACCCCCCTACCACCACCACCATCCAAATGCCTCATTGCGGACGTTAATGACTTCCGCAGAGCAACCATTTAAAATGAGCTAAGGGAGAACGATTGGAGTATTTATCAACCGATGCAATTGCAGAGCTTGAATCCAAAACTCAGGTGCATTCTTCCGTGTGCATGCCTACACTTTTCAGTAGGTTTCTCCTTTAGGCTTATTGCATACAAAACGTGAAGTTAGGAAGCTCATTACAGTAGCGTCAAGGTATGAGTTAAGACACCGACGCAAAGCAACAAGCCTGTCAACGCGGCACCTGAGCGACATCTGTGTTAAGAACCGCCGACAAGGGCCAGACGAACTTGAAGCCCTTCTCATAACAGCCGTTGACAGTGTCTGAAAGTAGCCTCGAGGCATTCATCCTGCTGCTACATCCCCACTAGCCTCTTCCCACCCACCCCAATCTGCTGCCGCTCTACTTTTGCTCCAACTCAGGCCTGCAATCTGACAACAAAGAAGTAGACGTGTTTAGCAGGCAGGTCTTTGCTGGTTTATTCCCCCTGTCTGCTGAAGCAGAGATGTGAAAAACACTCTGTTTGTCTTTTCTGTTTATCGTCTTCATCATTTTCTCTCTTCTCCTCGTTTGTGCACCCCCCCCCCCCTACCTTTTTTCCTCCCTAAACACCCCTGTCCATCTGCCCTGCAGGGGTGAGAGAGGGAGGCTGCTGTTTTATAAAAATGTTTCAGCCATAACATCGGATGGGCTACATTCGCTAAACAACATGAGGAGCATCATAGATTTGCAGCAACAGAAACCAGAGTAAGGCTTGAATTTGGGTCAAAGGGAGGTAGGTGGGCTTAATGGGGATATACCGCCAACTGACTCAGTGTCTGCTTAATTGTTCTATACTAACTTCAGAAATTAGAATGCAATTTTAGATATTTAGCCTATTAGGTCTCTAATCCTAAAATCTCTAATGCATTAATTCCTATTGGCAAGCAATATCTCAGTAGTCTGAAGTTTATTTCTATCCAACTGCTGTTTGGGGGTGCAGTCAGTCCATAGTTCTTTTTACAAGTATACTTCCTCAAAACTTTTACCCTAAGTTTCTTGCAACTGAAAATGTAGAATAAGGGTAATACATTTTTTTAAAGTTGGAATGAGTCATTGACAAGTTCAAGAATGACAGGAACAGACAGACAGGCTGGGGGAAGCAGGTTCTGCCTTGTGGGCAGACTTTTGTCTTGCCCACAATTGATTAGATTACCTCAGGGAAATAGATTCAACCAACACCACATGAAGCTCATCACTGTACCCCTTTAAAACCAATTGAAGGAAGAGACACGCCTGAGTTATAGATTAATACCACATAAACAAATCACACATTGTCAAACGTGGTTTTCTTTCTTTCTTGTTTCTGACTCAGTGCTGCATATACATGCTAATTTTCAAGTGGCTCTTGGAAGTTTGTTTTTTTTTTGTCGTGGAATTGCATTTAGTTGCTGCACTGCGCACAGCATAGCTTAAGGATTGCTTGAAATGAATTGCCTCAACAATATTTCATTGTGCACAAAAGAGGACCAGCAAAGTCCTAAATATTCACCTGTTCACAAAGCAGTGGTTTCTCTTAGCCCTTACTTTTACTTGGATTCAAAGTTTATATGGTAGGGGTCCAGCTGTTCTGTTGGAGATACAACCCCTACGTGGCCAGTGAAGAGTGTTGGAGAGGTTGGTTAACACATTTGTCTGTAAATAATTTGTATTCCATTAAAGTTTGACGAAGTTTGGGCAGTCATGCATATTTAACCTCCAGCCTCTCAACAGAAATTGAAAGCTGGTAAAATATTGAATTATCAAGAGAGCAGAGTGGAACGCTTCAGTCATAATAGTTCACACTTTACCTGCAGTGTTTGTAGGAGTTTTCTTTGCAATGTTCCTGATGAGGCTGGCTTTCAGTGAGGTAGTATACCTGAGGCTGCCGGGAAACATGAGCGTTCCTGCTTGTCTGCCTGAATCTCTTTGCCGGCTGGCTGCCAAAAATGGCAGCCCTGAAGAAATTTGTTACATAGAAATTGTGGGCTGTCATTAAGCTAGCATATGGCAGGTGTTTATTATAAAAGATAGGGGTCCTTTGCAGAGGGTTTATTTTACATGATGGGAACATCTTATCATTTGCATAGAAAAGTTGTATTTGTTCTGTCATTTCCCCATTGATTTATTCAGCCTTTGTAACAGCTTGTGACAGTATAATGAACTTAAGTAAATCTAGGAAAAGGGTGAAAGAACAGCCTGCAGCAGTTCCAAAATGCAGCTGTTTTATAAAAGCTTACATCTCTTGTTTGAATTTGCATTATAGATGTTACTACTTGACTTTGAGTGATTGCAAAAGATTGTTATGATAGGCTTGTTTCTGTTTAACCTAAGTAAATGTGAGGAAAAAAAACTTGGACATATTAAGGTATCAGAAAGCTGGAGTGATGGCACTTGCCTCTAGCTATTTTAGCTTGGCTTTATTAATCTGTTTGAACCTATAATGTGCAGTGATTTCTTGTCAGTATGCCCAAACTGCAGTAACCCGGTTAGCCAACACCACAAAACAGTCAAAACGCCTCACCATTGGATCACAACACATGGCTTTTCTGCTAACTGCTGCTGCCACAAATCACCTCCTATCAGTTCTCTGGAACCACTGAGTTTAGCAGCGAACATCAGCTCACAGCTGTAGGGCTTAAGCACAACTGGCTCTTTGCTTTTATTAAATTTAATCCGTTGTACCCCAAGCTGGCTCTGTTTCACGTGATTCTCTGGCAGATTTTCAGCTATTGTGCTTAGAATTGTAAATCAAAAATTACCTAAGGCTGCATCCAGTATCATTGCGTTTTGTGTCTGGGATTTTTTCCCTCTTTCATCTCCCCTCTATTTTCAGAAACGTATTTCAGCACAAATTAAAGAGATGTTTTCTGTCACTGTGAAGGTTTTTTCTATTCATGTGTTAGAATTTACTTTTCAAAGCCACCAGGGTTTTTGTTATTTTAACCGCCAACTTTGTTACACAGCCTGACTTATTTTATTCACATTTTCTTTCCCAGAGCTTTCCATCAGATGAAGGGTGGCCATTTGCCAAGTACCTGGGAGCATGTGGGCGCATGGTAGCTGTTAACTACGTGGGCGAGGAGCTGTGGAGCTACTACAATGCACCGTGGGAGAAGAGAGTGGACTTGGCACGGCAGCTGATGGACATTGCCGAGCAGCTCACCAACAATGACTTTGACTTTGCCCTGTACCTGCTTGATGTCAGCTTCGATAACTTTGCAGTCGGCCCTCGTGACGGAAAAGTCATCATTGTCGACGCTGAAAACGTTCTGGTGGCAGACAAAAGGCTGATAAAACAGAGTGAGTGCCGATGTCTATCAGTTCTTTATCACAAATGCTCTGTGTCCATGTCTGTGTAACCCTTTTTCTCTTAGAGTGCCGCATTTTGTCCTGTAAAGTTTTGTGTCACATCTAGGGTTGGGTGATGCTGGCAAAAATAATAATAATTATAATGATTAATTGTAGTGTTTAGCCAATAACAATTAATATGGCGATTAACCTCTGAAGTCTCTGTACGATGCGGCACATCTTAGTCGCGTGACTGTTTCAAAGTGCCCTAGTGGAAAAGATGCACCTTCTCCAAGAATCTTTCAGTTTGTGTTAGAAGAAGAGACTTAAACTATTAAACACTACTTTAATACTTGCTTTATTGTACTATTAAATGTCTTTATAGGCCAAGTAAAACCTGTGTTATGATAAGTAATTTACGGCACTTTTTTCTTTTTTTTTTTTACCTTTGTCGTAAGTGCTTTGCAGCATGAGGCAGCCAAAGACAGGCAGATTCATGGATAAAATACTAACCCCAACCCCACCGAACGAACACAATATTCCCAACATCCTTTCTGACTGAGGCCTGAAATTATTTAACTAATGTCAAAAATAATCTACAAGAGGAAGAAGAAGAAAAAAAAGGACATAAGAATTGAATGAGGTTCGACGACAATAGATTCACAGCGAAAGCATGTCTGAGTAATTAGAGTTGAGGGATAGCATGTTTAGCATGTTTGGATTTTTTTTAGTTAAGAGGTAGTTAAGTGTGTTTAGTGTTTAATTTTGTCAGTCAGTGTTTTTAAATCAAAATGATGAGGCGATTTTTGATTGTGGAGCTGTAGCTGATTTAGATGGAGGGGTAGCTGCGGACACATGGACCGATCAGAACCTTTTCAGAAAGAGGTTGAGGCAGAGATGAGGGGGTGTCTGAGACAAGGTGAGGACTTTGACGAGGAAGAAGGTGTTCCATTATTTTGTTTAGAAGAGGAAAGAGGGAAAGGGAGCCGAGCAGGATACTCTGCTCTGAGGTCTTATTAACCGCTAAGTGCCAAAAATCAACCGGCGAGTTTTTCTGATGATTAACTGCACATGATACGATTTTGCTCAATCCTAGTCGCATCCTTTAGTTTTGAGCGGTAGATTTTGTGTAACGAGGTGGGAATGTTTGAGTCTCTGTCAGTAGTTTCTTACTGAACAAGTAAAATAATCATCACGTAAAATTGTAATAAACGTGATGCAATTACTAGTCCATTAAGTTGTTTGGATTTTCTAGAAATGAGACACGTCAGGCAGTGATGAAGGTTTAACAAAAGCCCTCTAGGGACTCTCGGCTACGGGCAAATTTGCATGTGCTGGAAGTCTCTTCTCTTCTAAGAATATATACTCTTGCAGCACCCTTTCTGCCTCTAACACTTCGTCCCCTTCAAAGCAGAGATTGTTCAGATAACGAGCCATCTCTGCTGCCCTAGTTTTTTGCCTCTCAGAATAAACCTCGTAACAAGGTCCAAGAAAGCTATACATCACACACTCAGCGAGGCGGTTGTCCTCCCTTCGGTCCCTCTTCCAGGGGCCACTTCAGAGAGAGAGAGAGAGAGAGAGAGAGCAACGACCACCTTGTTGGGCCCTTAGATTTGTCCTCCTCCTGCAGAAGTCCTATTAAAATGATAAACTGGTGTTGCTAGGTGTTGAAGTTTCACCACCACTGTGCCTCGTGACAGATATGAACTACTGTTTGTATGTGAAGGAGTGTGTGCATTTGTGTGTGCACTTATTTTTTTTATTTGTAAGAGACATATTGTGATGAATTTATCCTGAGAAAGTGCCATTTTGCCAAATTACAAGATCTGACAGCAGAGAAGCACAAAGTATTGTACATGTCAAGTTACTCCAGCATGCCTTTTTTTTCCCCCTCTTGAATTTTTGCTTCATTTCCTATGTGATTATGTTGGTGTGTAGCGCCATGCTCAGAAGTGTGCCCATTTATTTTATTGCCAAAAGCAGCAATTTTCCACCCTGTCACTGAAAGCCTTTGCCAGTCCTGAAGCACAATCCAGGTTGAGACTCCTCCCTTTGTCTGGCAGAGACATTTAGAGCCTGACAACCCAAGCTGCTTACCCTGGCCTTTCTGAGTATAAGCCTAGAGTTTATTCGCTTCCTGCATGTTTGTGCGCCTCGGATCTGTTTGTGTGTCTGCCAAGTGCCGCGACGCAGCAGGAAGAAGCGGGATCATGGCAGTAATGAGTGTTACTAGGTCATGGCCGTGCCTTGAACAGCAGCAGGAAGCGGGCGCGGCAACTTCCCAAGGCTCCTCAAACGCAGAATCCAATCCCCACAATTAGAGGCTGAGATTGAAAACGAGCAGAAATGTGATGTGAAAGTCGTCGGCCTGAACTGCAACCAATTGATTTGTGAATCAAATATGTGCAGTTCCACCCTCTTATTAGGATCATCCATATGGATGCAAAGGCTTCCAGAGCGATGGAACATGTTCAAGTTGAGCTGTGTCCTTTGTTTGCAAAGTACAGTGGTGCAAAAAAAAGTATGCCCTCATCAAGGATTTTTTTATCTATTTATTTTTGCCTTCTTCCATTGCAATACAAATGTAAGCTATTCTTTCACCTCGACACAATCACACACATATGCAAACACACATGCTGCCACTCTTCCTCTTGTATTCAGTGAACCACTTCAGCACCGGCATCCATTCTTAAAAACTGACTCGTGCTTTTGAATTTCAACAGTAAGACTATGCTAACAAGCATTTCAGGCCCAGTGTCCCTTCTCTGTGTAGCCTTGTGAAGGCAAAGGAGTGAGGGGAATGCATACAAGTCCAATCAGAGCTCCTTAACATGGACGGTACCGGATACTCTCAGGACACAAGTGAGACTAGGCAGTCCTGCCTCGTCCCCTGCTCCGCTCATTTGACTTGAAAATTATTTAGTTTGCTTTGGAAATGTTCTCGTATTTTCAAACCCAGACCTGGAGGAGGAAAATGAATAGACCCTACAACTTTCTTTCAACTTTTAGTGGAGTGCCAAAAGACTTTATTTATTTATTTATTTATTTATTTATTTATTTATTTATTTATTTATTTATTTATTTATTTATTTATTTATTTATTTTGCTGCGTTCATCCTTGTCCTTGAGTCTGAACTTATTCCTTCCTGCCTTTTTTTTTCTTTTTAGTTGCTCTGACTGCTGTGTGTGGGCATAATTTTGTGACTGTTCGTCAGTGTGAGTGTCAAAAAAAAGGACACCCTCCCGATGCCATCTGTCAATCAGTGCCAATGTGTGATGCACAACCAGCTCCGAAGCATTAATTGCTTTCACCTCACCTTGCTGCTTTTGCGCGCACATCTCTATGTGCCGGTGTGCTCTTGTGGCACACAGATAGATCCATCTTCATCACCCTCACTGATTGAGGTTGATGTGCCCCTCCTCTTTGGGGAGCCCGCAGTGGGGCCCCCAACGCTGGATGTTTGATTGAGTTGTTCTGATGAGCCAGAGGAGAAGTGCATTACAACGCTGATACACTGATTATGTGTTTGCATCCTCTGGGTTCACCCCCTACCCTCCGTATCCCTACAGTGATATTGATCTGCTTTTAATGCACAAACCAATAGCTCTCTCATCATTCCAGTTTCCCCCCCCCCCCCCCCGACCTTTTTTTTTGTTTCTTTATTGCCTCCCTCGTTTCCCAACCCAATCCTCCAAGGAAAAAAAAACCAAGAGAATGAAATGAGCTGGAGAAAGAATTTTATTTGCTCGGTATATCAAGGAAGAGGTTCATTTCTGTCAAAAGAAACAGTAGATTGTTGTTTGGCTGTGAGCTTTGGAAAAGTATTTTTTCTTCGTGGCCATAGAAATTTATGTGTTGTGTTGATCCTGTCAGCTGCTGGGAGAGGTGATTTCTACAGTAATAAATAGCTCAAACCGATAAAAAGAAAAAGTTTTCTGTCTTAGTTTGATACAGTGAAACTCTTATTTGTGACAAGTTTTTTAATTTATTTTTGTTTTTTTATCTGCCTGCAGACAAGCCAGAGAGCTACGATGTGTGGTACGAGAGCCGGTTCGAGGAGTGCGACAGGGAGGCCTGCCTGTCTTTTTCAAAAGACTCGCTTTGTTCCAGGGTCACTGTGGACCACAATTACTATGCTGTGTGTCAGAACCTGCTGTCGAGATACGCTACGTGGCGGGGCACCACCGGAGGCCTCCTCCACGACCCGCCCTCCCATGTAGCCAAAGACGGACACCTTGATGCTCTGTTGGATGAGTGCACCAAACCCAAAAAGCGCTATGGCCGCTTTCAGGCGGCCAGGGAACTGCGCGAATACCTCACACGGCTAGCTGCTGCCTCGTCCTCTGCCATGGCCAGGTAATGCATGGAGTCGGCGTTAGCCAGACGCACTTAGACTGAATTTTGTACTCTTTATCCCCCGGACTCCTGGGATCCCGGTTCACGTACGTGATGTCATTTGCTGCCTTTGTGCAACAGAGCAAGAGGGTGCTGGGTCTTGCATCATGAAGTGTGAGACTCAAACTTCAAAGCGGAATTGTTAAAGCTCTACCTTTTTACCTGGACTTTGCTCCTTGGTGCAGGAAGGGTATGGCACTACAAAAATTCCTGCTCGAGCCAGAAAAGAGAGGTGATGGAGGTGGTAACCTTTCGGCTCTGGGGGTTGGGCTGCCTCCTCGAGGTCTGAGATTAGAAAGGGCTCTGCTGAACGCATCCCTCACTGGAGTCAGGCTAACGTAAACCGGAGCATCCGAGCAGCAGCCCTGATGATGTCCATCAGAACATTTTGATTTAGAAAAATAAACTTTAACACGTTTCGAATTTACTGCAGTCCTTTTCAGTTTTGAAGTATTTTTTTGTTGTTTTATTTTTTTCAGGGCTCAATTTAAGTCAGTTGTGCTGTGCACATTTTTTTGCTGTGCCATGGGTTTGTTTTTTTTTTTTGGTTGTTGTTGTTCTTTTATTTTCTGTAGCATTGCTGCCTGGAAGGTGGAAGTAGCATGAATCTCCTGCTGTGGGGCGGCAGGGAAGGCTGGGCTAAAGCAGGTGTAGAGTAAAAGCAAGGGGTTGGGGGTTTGCATTTCGCACAGGAGAGAAATAAAATCCTTGACAGCGACACAAGTATAATTTCAAATCAATCACTGTTTCCAGGTTTCAGGATTGTGGCAATCATTTTTTGTGTATGTGTGATTTTTTTTTGTTATTTTTTTTCTTTAATAGAAACCAGAAATGGCAAGACAGCTGCTCATGGGGAAAAAGTAGGCGATAATTGGACTTTGGTGGTCCCTTAATGCAGATGTGTCTATACCAAAGAGGCTGTTTGTAATAAGAACTCCAAAGTTTACACACCTCTCTCTCCAGTCATTTCCCACTAGAGTTCTACAAAGGAACACAGCTTTTATGAGCTGACAAGCTTGGGTACTGATATTCTGTCCCCAAAGAATCAAATCCAGGGGCATCTAAAACAAAAATAGCCATAGTTAAATTACAACTCCCTTTGCTTCGTCAGCCTGCAGCAGAATTGATAAATGACCAGTTAACATTTTTCCTTCAACAGTGATGCAGAAAGATTTTTTTTATTTAAAAAATTGACTTTTACAAGATAAAACCTACATTGTACTGCCCCCACAAAGCCCCGTTCTCTTTAAATACCAGTAATTGATGAATGCTATTGTCTGACTCGTCCCATTGCTGCTGAATGCAATAAGCTCTGTCAGGTCGATGGATGAAAAGGGAATGAAGATATCCATAAATGACTTTCCTGCACCAGAAAGTGGATTCTGACCTGCGCTTTTACATTTCGCAGCCCAGAAATTTCCGCTCAATATTTAAACATTAAGCACCACTTAGAGGTTGGGTTGATTTTACACTCAGTGGACCACCAAATTAAAGCAACAAATACAGGCTCATTTTGCTCATAGCTTATGAGATATGTTCCTTTTTAAATAACTTGAAAAAACAATTTTGTCTATTGCTTCAAATGTTTTTTGTTTCTTTGTAAGTCAACTATGTTGATGTTGTGATTAAGATGGTAAAATGACAATGAAATTTGTGTCATACAGAAAATAAGACAGGCCAATAATTAAATGAACATGAGCCACTTAACCACTACATTCAGAGGGGAAGTTAGAAAGCACATTAGCTGCTCTTTTTTTTCTTGTTGTTTTCTTGTTTTCCCTCCTAGTTTTCGACATGACTTGTAAGGCTGACCTGACCCTTGTCAGTTAGGAAAAGCAATAAAAACATGTTTGGCTAATGGATTTCATCTGTTGAAACCCTTAAACCTCATTTGTTGTGTCAGATACATTTTAGTCCCGCCCCTGGTCAGATGTATTTCAGTATGAAAAGAGGTCAATCTCGAGGGATTTGTTCATGCGTAACTAGCTGTCCACTTTTGTACTGTAATTTTCTTTGAGTATTATATCAGCATTGTCTGATTTTTCCTGTGCCTTTCATTCAAAGTTGTATTTACAACTTTTAGTGGGTTTATATATTAAAATAAATGAAGAAATCTATATATATATATAGATATATACCTATGATTTGTGTGGACTCTTCTTTATACTACCCTCATCGTTTTTTTTCCATACATTTTAGTTTGGTGTTTAAAATTTGATTCACAGCTTGTCAATATTTGCCAAGTCCTGTTTTACTTATGTATTTTTGTTGAATGAACCATTCAAAGGTTTTACTTTCAAAAGACCCGAGACAAACCGCGACAACAGACGAGAGCTTAAGGCCTCCATCCACTGCCGAAATTGTCTCTCATTGTCTCAGTTTCGTGACGTATATTGCCTCATATTGTTTGCAGCTTTGAGTCTTTCGTTCTTCCTTGTTGCAACCCTTTGGGAGAACTTTTCACGCCCCTCTGCATAAGAACTTACTGTGAGATTGGTCAAAAGTTTGTGGGCATATTTGTTTATGCTGAAAGCGCTCAGACGCTGCATTTCGCTTCAAATACTCATTTATAAAAAACTACTCTCTTCCGGAAACTGACTGTTGTACACGAAAGCAGACATTTAAAAAAGATGGTCAAATAACCAAAAACTCTTAAATGGAGATAAGCTATGTTTTGCACGGAGGAATCTGTCTGCAGAAACGTGTGGAGATGTAACCGTGACAGATATGTGAGTGAACAACGGTGGATCTCGGAGGTTCACACTCCCCAACACCATCATCCCGAGTGCAGACTCCAGCGGGAAGGAACCACAGTGACTTGTACCGCAGCAGGAGGGGTTTCCCAGGAGTTCTGTGGGGTGTTTCTCAAGGGCTATGAAAGGTGTGTGTGAAAACAGACGAATAACTACAAACGTGCGTCGACAGCTTCAGATGGATTATAGTGGGCCCTTTAGTGACTAGCACTAATGCCTCAGTAAGAAAGTCTTGGGTTTGATGCCCCACGGTTTGAACATGGGGTCTCGTGTGGCGTTTGCATGTTTTTGTGTTTGCTTGGGTTTTCTCCTGTTTCTGTTTTCCTCATAAACATGAACGTTAGGCTCCCTTGCAAACTAGATCTGCGATATAGGTGGTATTTGCCCGGCTAAGTAGAGGTTAAAAATAAATAAATGCTGCACATACAGAAAGTCTTACATATAAAATGTGTAGGTGTGCAGCACAACCTTTAGTGTTGGTGGTGTTTGCTAATTTAACAGCTCCTCATTATCTCTCAACCTGTCTTGAGCTAGCTCATGCTTGTAGAGTAAAAGACTGCAGTGGAGCAAAGTACTGCTTAAGCCAGAACCAAAATTAGAAGCTGCATCACCGACACTCATTGCCACTCTTCCACATTTTTTTCCCCTCTCCATGGTCATTCCACCACCTATCCCCGTCTTCTCGTCTGTAATTGTGCTTCTCTTTGATACACCCACTGGTTTGCGTACAGAGCTGATGTCACACTCATTGTGGCGAAATGCTGTTAAGGCCCCTGTGTCGTAGCTCTACGCCCGGCCCCCGACAGATGAATAGCTCCGGGGTCGGTTCGACTGGAAGAAAACACCACGGAAAATGAATGGTGCGCCATGCGCTCAACTTTAATAAACAGGCTTAAATAAACATGAGGCCATTTCCAGGCACGGCCACCAGGGATTTTTCTCCATCGAACACAAGAGAGGAAGAATTTGGAACTGTTGGGAGGAAAAAGAAAACGAAACAAGCAACCTATTTGCAGGGTACCTGGCAATTACAGAAAATAGAACTATAAATTTTCTTACTGCACTATCCAGTTTGCTTTAGGTGAGTTTTCCTTCAAGAACTGCAGTCAAAACCGGGACAAGTCAGAGCATTTCATTTTGCTTTGCAGCTTTTACCCTATATGCAAATTTATATCTCATCCGTAGGTGTGGGGG